TATCCGGTCAATAGAACGTCACATGAGCATTCAAAAACATGCGAATACCGTATCGGCTGTTTACATGTGACTGAAATCATTCGCTTACGGGGAAACTAAGTTGAATTTTACTTGCATTTTATAATAACAATTCAACGAATTTATTTTTCGTGCGTTATTGTAATCACTACTAAATAATAATCACCAATATCAACACTTCGAAAACAAGTAAGTTATTCACTTGTGACCCGCAGCATGGCCGGATCGAGCTACCGTTCTGTGATCATTTGCTACTAAGCAGTGCATTCGTGTTTTTATTTGAAACTTCTGTTAGAATATACTTTTTGTTACCAAGAAAATAAAAAAAATAAATGCATATCACATTAAAAATATTGAGTATTTTTTGTATCATGTGGAAATTTTGTTTGATTGACTGTAATTTTTCAACATTTCGTAACGCCTATTTTAGAACCAAAATAAGGCCTTTCACTCTTTCCCGACGAGATTGTAGGGTGTATTGTTTGTTTTGTGCATGTGTTGTGGACAAAAAATGACCACGCCCATTTAGTGATTGCAATATGTACGTAATAGAAACCGCACCCCGAACTTGAGCTTTTGATCCCAATTTTTAAATTGATACATTGTAATATAAACCGCGGTTTATAATAGGACTTTAACGGTAAACCTTGTTGCATGTAATAGAACTATTTTTTATGTTAGCATAATTCCTAGTAATTTGCTCTGGATAACTGCAACCTGTCACTGTCAAATAGTGTTAAAAGGTGATTCCAAGAGTACAGATCCTCCAATGGGAATACTTGTTGTTGATACCGTACTCGGCCGCGTTAGCGCCCAGGCTCCTCAACTCATAAAATCGCGATTTTTTAGGGGTGTGCGCTTACCCGAGCACTCCCCTCGGAAAAGAGTGCAACTGACAATTTTAATTCACCTAGTGAGAGATTGAGGGGGATATTACGTCTTTGGAAATTTGGAGGAAAATAAAATTACAAAATTAGGTGCGTCGTCATTGACTCTTACAATGAAGAAATGGTCAAATATGCACATTTTATTAGTCCCCGTTCGGACGTAATCCGAAAACGGGGACTTATGTTTTGCCCTGTGTGCGTCCGTCCGTCCGTCCGTCCGTGATCACCTGTATCTCGAACATACATGGACCGATTAAGTTCAAACTTCACTCATACATCACACATTATATGGGACATATGCACATGCATTTTTTTCATGATCCGATTAACGATAGCCGAATAGCGGCCATTTTAAGGCCGAAAATGCATCAAAATCGCACATTTTCACCATTCCGGACCCGGATCTCAGTTATGCATGGACGGATTTTGTTCAAATTTGGTACATA